ATGCAGGGTATGAACGTCGTAACGGCTCTGTAATACAGTATCCGTCTCCAACCAACAGCCTAGTCCTTCACAATAGTATAGGATACTACTAGTATAGGATATATATATATATATATATGGAGTAATATCCTATATTTAGAATGTCCATACATGCGCACTTCCGTGCTAAAAAGTCGGTCAAATTGACTTGCTTACTAATACAATAGGTAGTTGCCCTACATTAAACGGTTAGAATTAGCCGTCCCGTGTCGACTAAACGAACGTCCTGCTAGCCGTACCAGTGTCAAACTTTAGCTAACATCTTTGCAGGAAAACAAAGCAGAGTTGTGGAAGTAGTTTTTCGAAGAGCGAAACCATTTTCGCAGGTAACTAGAGGAAGATATGTACGAAATCCTGGCGACAGGGACGAGAGAAGCGCAAGGATTACATAGCAGCGAGAGTAAGCTGCAAGCGATCATGATGACCAGAAAGTGGAAGGTCTGCGTCGTCACACGTATTGGCCATTTTTGTTGACTTTAGCAAAAATTTACATTTTACTTAGCGATTGCGACTCAAATAATAGAAAAGGAAAAACACAGACTCCAGCTACGTAGTACTATAGGTAAAAGTTGGCGTTTTTTCCCGCTAATTACTGTAGATGCAGCTGGTAAATGTCTAAGAGATTATTAACAAATTCGCTCACAGCAGGGCAAAGTTTCAGCATAAATGTGATAAAGCATAACTTTCCGCCAAAGTGCCCTGGGCACCTAAAGGCTAGCATTCTTGGACATTGCATATTTCTTTGGTGAATGAAGGTGTGTCTTTTTATGCAATAATAACTTATTATTGTTTAAATCAATGTGTCCTCTATAAGTGGTAGTTATATTATAGATATATTTTTGACCACCTACCCGGATTAATGCCATAGTTTAAGGCTGTTAGGTTGATTGTTTGAGCCTATATCGGCAAGTTGCAGGACAACTATATTTGAAGAAAAAAAAAACAACGTTCCATCTGTCCCACGATAATTTTGCATCGATCATATTCTCTCTTTTACAGCGACACAGTTTCGTAACACCTTCCAAAAGAAAATCGAATTCACAGGTCTTACATACGAAAGAACTTAGTTCCCAACCTCGTCGGGTGCGGTCAACATTCTGGAAGGAAAATCAATGCTCGTACAGACGCATAGACAGTTGTCTACACGGTTTTGACAAATAATTATTTCTCTTATCCATAGTCTTCGTTCTTTTGTTTCGGCTTTAATTGCTTAAGAAATAACTTCAGCTCAAACCAGTTCCCTTCAAGCGAATATCTCTACCAAGCCTTTCGTCAATGCAGAATCGTAGCGACAGTAGGACAATGATGGGCGGCAATGGGACAGACCAGAGCCAGGTTTTACTTAATGCCTTTTAAGGTTATTTGTGACGCAAAACAACTTGCAACATGGCCGAGGGAAATTACGATGGCGAAGCTCTTGGTCGACAAAGCGTTCCAACTTGAGGTAAATAAGCTCTCGAATCAGCGAATGGCAAAAAGTCGAATATGAAAAACGTATTATGCCACCATAGAGCCCGCTAGAACGTAGCTTTGAGTATTACCGATAGCTAGTAAGCGTCTGCAATCACTTTTACTTAGAGACAGATCAAGTGGAAATTTCGCATAGAGCGGTAAGAAGCGAGTTTGTATTCTAAAGCTAGAGAAACACGTGTCTACAATTGGAAAAATCTATTGGGTTCGAATGGTTGGATCTCTCACACGTAGACTCGATATACCGTGGCTCCGAGCTGATGCAATGCTGAGCTTGTGTAGGTAAGTGCCTGCGCGAAAAGCTATTGTAGATGATAGTTTACGCAACTGATGGAAACAGAAATATCAGCAGAGAAGGATTCGGGAAGAGATAGTAGCAAATAAGGCGCGAATATCCAAAGGTCAAATACTTTGAGCAAGTGGACGTCGTCTGTGTATCCCCTTGCGCGGCGAAATAATCACAAACAATGTAGCGGTGTCTTCGTATACCGGGGTTGTGCCTAGTCAACGGTTATATCTTCGGACAAACACCAGCACGAGTGATTTGCCGGTGAAAAACGAAGGATAAAACCGTTGGTAAGCGTTGCGAAGAGGAAGAAGATGGTGTTTTGGCCTGTGTGCTGTCCATGTTTAGTCCTGTGGGGGGTTTGTAAAGTCCTTCTAGATCACCTACATAATATTCAATGTGGATCCAGTCGCACGGTTACTTGGAAACAATTGAGTTTCACGTTACGTATTTGAAATGCAAGAATTTCGATTTTGGAGGATGTTACGCGTGACGAAAATTGCGTCTGCTGTTTCAGATCCGATATCGATTCGTACGTTTCTCGCAGCCCGAGAACGATAAAATTACCTCACTTACTGTCAAGCTCTACAAAAGTCAGTTATTCAGCGCGATACGTTCTAAGAGGTCCATGAACGCATGAAGCCTTCAACCTTATCCTTTCGGCCTCTCCAATCTAGAAAAGCCCATATCAGTTTCGAGTTTCCGTCTCTCGCTACAACGCGAGCTGTTGACCGTTGAACAGCAACAATAGCAAGACACTGACTGGTGAAGACCAACTACATTAAACCGGAGCTTTGAGTAAAGTAGTGGAAAAGGGGTCGGTATAAAAAGAGCCTAAGCGTCCTGTAGCAGCCCAGATGTTTCTTTCTGTACGTATTACAACGTATGAGGAAACGGTATTAAACTTACCACTCTACAACTTAACATTTCCTCAATATATCAGTACTGTGGCATGATAATATGACGCTAACTATTTAGAGGGAATGCTGTAAATGCATCCATCTGCACAAACTACCTAAGAAACGACACAATAGGTATAAACTTACGGTCCAGCTTGAAAGCGGTCTCCACCAACGTCAGTTTGTAACTATATTTTTGCAAAGCGCAAGTATTTACCATGATTTAGGTCAATGTCAAGATCGTAGAGCTTTGTTAAAGAATAGAAGTGATTTTTTAGGCTACCGATGAGGCCGGCAGTTAAATTTGCACAAAACCTATTCTCACCTATTTTTTTTTTTCTGTGTTGCAACCACTGGAGCAGCATAAAGTATAAATAATTCTTTTTCAAACGCCTGTCTTAGATTATTACTGGAGTCCTTTTTTCCATGAACGTAGTGGAAAATTGCTTTTGGTTTTACTAGGTTTGTTCATGCTCCGCTTTTAAAGCTGACATATATTTACAAGTTTGTGCATTGTCTAATTCCCCCTAAAATGACCTTCAGGCTTTTGTGGCTGACGTTATGTGCCAATTATTATTTCCTATTTCCAAATTTACATTCATTGTAAACTTCTACTGCTTGTATCGTTCTTTGCCATAGTATATTTATATTTAAGCACTGCTTAGCGGTAGGATATCGTGTTCAATGAGGTAGTATATGGCGTGATGGTATTCGTCGCACAAAGTTGAAAAGTTGAAAAATGGATTTAGGTTAAGCAAACGAATTGCTCGTAGCAAACAATCGTGGCTTATTCCAAATCGTCTTTCCCGCTGGTAGCAGCAACATCTGATCCAGTATCTTTCCTTATCGTCTGTTATGTACGCTGTTTTATACATTCTTATAGATAACCCACCTTTTAGCGTTTACGTACTACGATTAATGAAATTCACTGACTTGGTATCGCATCGCTCATAGAAAACTGCCCTGGCAGCCCGTCTAGAAATATTCGGTTTACGGTAAATTCTGAGCGCATATTTTCCGTTTGTTCTGAAATTTCTATAAAATAATAGTGTTACTGCCATTTCTACATTTCCAATAACGTTCCAAAACATTATTTGTTTAGAAATAGTGGCAGAATTAGATATCTTTTAAGCTGTTTTGTGGATTGCCCTTAGTTGAGTGTTCTCTGTTTCACGCGCCATTCATTTGAAAAACGCAGTGAGCACACAGCTGATGGCAGATGATTCTGCTTCGTAAAGCTGAGCATCGTTACAAAATATTACTAGGAAATCATCTCTATCTGTCAGCACAATCATGAGCTGAAATTGACGGTTTGTAATAATTATCAGTCATTGTACCTTCACCTGTTCAATCAAAGTGACAGTCCTGTCTAGCGATAATTCAAGCATTATGCAAGCATTGTTCATCCATATGCCAATGCCAAACAATATACTTGCCTAAAACTTAGGGCCAGTTGAGCCTCCAAACCTTATTCAGCGCCTAGGTAAGCAGGCGAGACATATGTAGTTTCTCCCTCGAGAGCAGCGTTCCTAGAACATCGAATGGATGTACGCAGTGGGTTACCTTCAATCCGCACGGTTTAGTCGCTGTTATTTAAGAGTGTACCTACCCTGAGGATGTACTCAATGTGTAGATTGAACAAAGGGGTCCCAACCAGCCACATGGGTGGCGAAACAGATTAAACAACTGTCATAGATTTGCTAGGTTACTATATAGCTAGTTTTACCATCTCGTCAATCTGCTCAGCAACGCGCTCTGGCGCATGGAGGCTCTAAACATCAATACGTTACACTTTGATCGTAACCAAGAAGCTGAAACACAAATGACTAACAGTAGAGCCTCGGAAAAAGCTAAACCCAGGTATGCATTTATAAGTAAAATGTTGCTGCTTATGGGTTTATCGTGATCGGTCGGGTGGACTGAATTGCTAATTCCAACAATTTAAATAAAAAATATCGTTGGGTTTAAGGTGAAGTACGAACTCGAATAATCTCATGCATATGAGTGCTAAGCCGTTTCCCGGTAACGGTCCTTACGGCAATCAACATATCTAGCTACGGTACTTATCGTAAATCCGTAACAAGTGTTACTTTTCCGAAGGAGTTTTCGAAATTTTGAAGAAGTACATGCAATAATATGCCAGCCAAGGTTATATGGCATTAAAGTTCTATTTAGTGCTACTGACACTGAATAACCCACAATCCACTAGAGATTCTTTCCCACATAAATTAATACTACATCATTTTTCTGTAGGAAGCATGAAGTTTATATATATTTATATAGCAATACTAACAAACGTTCGACCATCGTGCAGTGTCGACAACTGAATGTAGTGATGACTCCGAAACAACCCCTGTTGGTATATTATTCTTTCATAATAGAACAAACTTAAGTAACTAGATAAATAGGCTGTCGATAAAAATGCATTGTGTATTTGCCCAAGAAGTATTATCAGTCAGCGCTTATTTTGATAACTTCATAAAGCACTTGTTCGGCCAATAACAAATAACGCATGGCTATGGACCCGGCTTATAGCCGCTGTACTTCTTCATTGCTAGCCGTCAATACAATATAGGGCTTAAGTTTAAGTCAACATTATTTCAACTTTTGCATGCCGGTCTGATGGCAGATAGCCTAACTATCGAAGCGCAAATGCGTCCCGGTCTGATGGCAGATAGCCTAACTATCGAAGCGCAAATGCGTCACGGTGTAACTAACTTCATTATCTACGTTTTCTCATAGCCTCTCTGTCCGTGCCTTATCCTGCGGATTACTTTCTCTTTACGATGATTCCTCCTAGGATGTTTTCCCTGCATCGCGTTTTTTGTTTCACAAGAACTAAAGTTTAATAACGACGACACACTCCCTCGTACTTTTGTAACTTATGGTGCAGGGGCATTCCTTGGGCATGTCCGTGCAATTCAGAACGACAGAGTTCGGTGAATAAACGTGTTCGCCATGCGTCTGACGTTGATCTGAACATTTCTCGACTTTGTTAAGTTGTTCCGGGTTTTGTTCGCCTTCGGCTGCAAAGTAGAAGAAGCAGTCAATGATATCAGGGATTTACTCCAAGTACTCATGTAGACCAGCGGTTCTAAGAAAAATTGATATCTAATTATAAAGCTAATGCAACGATAATAGAAGGGTTAGACGGCTAAACGCAGGCCACTTGTGACTCAACAGTGTTTGCCTTTAACAACACAACTGTTTAGCGTAGTCCAAAGCCTGGAAGGAAGCAATGACCACTGCTGTTACAAGCAGTTAAACAGCGGCAATATGTAGCACTCAGCACTCAGGGATCCTGTCCATTTTACGTATTGGTAATCACTCACAGTAGATATATCCCATGTTTACAAACTCGTAATTGTATTTGAACAAACTTATCTAGTCTGTGGGAGATACATACATTCATCAACGACATGTTCAAACATTGGCGATTAATGTTATATCATGTTTTCCTTAATTAGTTTCTTTATTTTACAGCGTTGTTTCTGGAGGCGTTTTAGAACAGAACGAAAGTGTGCCGTAGCATGTCGTATCTGTACATGTACGATGTTGAATAAGGCAAAATTGCATCAGTCCACCTATTGGATAGCATAAAATCTCCGCTGGTGATCAACTCCTCAATTGCAAATAAGGTCAAGTACGCCTTATGACAAAACGTACTACACATCGCCAACGTCTTCTCGCGGTCCAGTATCCCCGCTGCCTTGAAAGCATAGAAACAAACTCACGATCAAACGACACAGAGTTCTTAACAAAGTTGGAAACTCGGCTTCACAACAGCAGCATACTTGCAGGAGATTGTTTCTTTCACGAAGGCTTACACTTGTTCAGGCTCGACCTGAAAATAGTATAACACATTAACAGAAGGGCGAGAATCAAGATAATGACGAGTGTCACATGTATCCACTTCATTATTACCTTCTAATTGATAGGAATCGCCGGCAGATTACAGAATGGATTGGTGGAGAGGAAACCCTTCTGTATCATTTGGATGTTACCGTTGAAAATCTAGGTGAGAAGCTAAGTAAATGTACATTCTTAAGAAATCAATTTCTACAGCGCTCTCTGTCCCCCGGACTCGCTTCGATATCGGTTCGTCGAAACTACAGGCAAACAGTGGCCATAAATAAACGATCGCGAGCTCGGAGTTGTGCGCCTTACAGGTGGTTAGTATTGGCTTTCCGCACGTATCTCTATTGTAGATGTTCTTGGAGAAAAGCCGTTTCCGGAGGCATTTTTATTTCTACATTTGCTACTGAGCAGTGTCGCTGGTTTACGTTCTGGTTTCAATATGGACAAAGCACAGAATAGAATATTCTCTATGAAGAATCCAATGGCTGCAGTTGAAGACTAAAATCTGTCCTCCGCTTTACATCTTATGCATTTGGTCAACACGGTCCTTCAAGTCGCAAAGATCATGGGTCGCATCACTCTACCCAAAGCGGTTTGGGCTATAGAAAAACTAATTTAGGAACTTATCCAATGCTTATGCTTAGTACTCCGATTTAGACTTGGAAATTTGTTGGCAGAAGTAAATTAGTTAAAATAATTGAACCGGAGTATACGAAGGTGCTACGAAGTATTCGAGTACTAAGATAAATTGAAAATGGGGAAAAAATCGTATGAAACCGATCACACTTTGAAATAGTAAAGTACAATAATCATTTTCAGCCGATTGTCGACTCTTTGTTGGCACAAATGGCGTTCATCTTCAAATCGCGTACTTCTTGACAATGAACAATTAGCTTTCCTCCGCGAAATATGAAAGTAAAGTGTTAAAAGCTTTTGTTAGTATAGTTGTCTATTTTAGGTTAGATTTAATAGGACGCAAGTAAAACTTGTTTGTTAGATACCTGCACACTTATATGTTATTTCTAAGCATGAATAGGCATTTTACATAACCTAAATTTAAGAAATGTCTGCGGCCAGCCGAACTATAAATAGTGTATTAACAAAACCATGTATGGATAGCCTATTTAAGGTTCCGATTAAGTCAATGTCTACAGAAAGGCCAGTTATAGATTCCGTATTCCCGTACCGGTCGAAGGTAGAAGGGTATATGAAAGCACAGCCGTATCTAAAGTGTTGTATAACTGAAATAAATAAGTAAAGGGGACGTAAAAGAGTGCACGGAGCTGGGGCAAGGTCAGTAGTACAGGTTCAACCGCAGGCGACACGATATGTTAACAAATCGAACCTACAAACCTTGTGTAAGTAGTCTGGGTATTTGCAGATGTAAGTAACGTTTGAACTTACAAACAGATAATCAGTCATCGTTGACCGCGATCGACGTAACAAATGAGGTCACGCCCAAAATGTGTTGTTTTCTTTGTGGATAAAGCTGATCGCAAAAATAGCTCAACCAGTCTCAGCGTTTTCCAGCTGTAGTTGACTGTTGATGTTGCTCAAAGACACCAAATGCTGTTAGGCAACAATATGCGTTACAAGCAGTTGACCAGAGGTAAACTAGCCGCCTAGGTTCATTAAAGGTGCAACCTACAGATCATACATATATGTGCTTTGTTCTACCGAAAGAAAATGGCTGCTTACGTTACACCTCACGCAATTGTTAATAATAATTTAATAGTAATAACAAATAATGGTTAATCTTAGCTTGTTGCATTCATTTCATAATGGACCATGTGAAGATGAGCACGTTATGGTACAAAGTTTATATTTCTTTATTCCTATATACAGCCTCTGTTTTATCTCGAAGCGTAAGACTTTTGATTGATTGCTTTACGTCCGACGCGTTATTTTATCATTCCTAGCGCTTGATGGGTAATATCCTGCACCTGGTTTGAGGCATGCCCTCACCTATACATATATTATCACGCGTAGATAACTCGGCCAAAGCATTGATCGATCTAATTAATCTAGCTTGTCTATTGATGCATGCAATATACCACACCTGATTCTTTTGGCATATTGGCTAACCCTATTCACCCTAATATTATAGATAGGCTATATACACCATTAATGCCATAAATGTAAAAAAAAAGATTGTTTTACTACCATTAATACTATTCACAGCTATTTGCCTGGTTAAGATAATTCAGCGGACTGAAGTTCCCAAGATAAAAACGCTAAGCTAGATTTTCCAATACTCGAATTTCTCGTCGCCAAAGGTGTTCCTCTCTGATAGGTGATACGAAATCTATTATTTTTTCCTACTTCGATTTTTCACTACACGTTTATCACCATACCACGTTACTATTTGGGTAGAGCTACAAATATGGAAAGGTCTCACTTTGTTGAAGAGAAGAAGTTGCGTATCTTTTAAGTCTCTAATGGGTAGCTAATCAAAAAATCGCATGAAAACGAGAAGACCGACTGGGTCGATGGTTTCTTTAAACGTTACAACCAATAAGGCAAGACCCAATCGCTGTTAATCGAGACCGTCATTGGTGTGTATCTGTGGTTGACCTGACACCTCGCCGTTCTGTAAGATGCTGCAATTTAGCTTTCCTCCCTCATATAATCGGCTAGCACAAGTAATGTTTTAATAATAAGATAACCCAGTCAGTTTATATTTCTTTACTCGTATATACGCCATGTCGAATTTTCATAAGACGTTGAGACTCATTATTTTACGGGGCTACGGGAAACTTTTTCGGCATATATCGGTCTGCTTTTTTTTATTCTGTTTCACTGGGGGATTTTCTATCGAGATCGGTCAAAACACAGTGAATGCCAACAGTGGAACAGGGGCGAATCTCGGGTTGTTTATCATAATCTCGTTTCATCCGATCAGTGCAGTCTTCTAGTTTTATTAACGCTGGGCAAAATTTTATATAACCAATTGATAACCGATAGAATGTAAATCATTTCCTAACACATAAATAGCTTGGTTGAACAAGATGGTGCTACTGAGCTAGGAGGCATACTATTACGCCTTACGTAAATTTCTCGCACATCTTGATAGGCAAATGCGATACGCTTACTGCCTTTCCTTTAGGTGTCAGTTTTTCATCTATTCGATCAAAGCACTCAATACAGACACGTTTGTCTCGAAGCAATTATTGAAGATGGTAATTATGGTATTATTGGCCACTGCGAGTATGTACTTATTTTTTTTTTGTTCAAACTTCTTTTTTTAGAGCACGCTTAGATCTCAAAGAAGATTACATCTCTTTCTTAGCCAAAAACTCATATGCGGTCTAAGGCGAAAATGAAGGCGTACAATTACCCGTATATATTTGTGGAGGTTTGTTGGCTAATAACGAAGTGGCCATAGTTGGTACGCGAATGTTCGTAGAGTTCTAAACAAGTTCTTGTAGTCATGATTCTGCAATTACGTACGGTGGAGTTATTGTTTAATACGTGCACACGTAGTGTACATGATTGCAGGTTTGTAATGAAGCCGAAAAGTAGCGAAACTTATATTGTGCATATCGTGACGCTGCCTGTTTTAATCGGAGACGGTACAATAAAAATTACGTGTAAAAAAAACACTTATTCTTCAACATTAAACATATTCTTCCTTTAATAGAAACAATTACCTCTACTCGCCGCTAGAATTACATAATCTGCTCGTTCCTCGATGCCAGATTGGATAATTATGTACCTTCTTAGATAGACCCTAAATAGACACTTTGTTCTACCCACATCTAGAACTCTCAAAGAGGACAGTTAAGACCTTTGGCAGCCACATCCGAGTAGGACGTCGTCGAGAAGCTGAGTCACGCAGTTACTTCGTACGGAAGACTACTTTTCTACAGCGTGACAACGTATACTGCTGGGGCGACAGACTCTTTGAAACAGAATGACTACGTTTCTGCATTACGTGTACACGAGTGATATCTTTCTTTGAACTTGTATAAATAATTATCTTTTCAAAGTTAGAGTAAAGCTATGCAACCAAAATAAAATGAACGTCTTGTAAACAAAGAGCGAATGCAGGGCCTTGTGCTTCAAATGGGCAACGCTAAGCGGGAAGCCTCACAAGAATTTAGATACTGATTTGGAGAAATTTGGCCACGGATCGTCACAACATCTGAATATGAGAGGACTTTAGAAATCAAAACAAACGTTTCTATTTAGACGTTTGGTCCTGACAAGTTTCGCCAGCCCCCGCCAGAAAGGCCCCTCCGCTTTTTCGTATGACTACGATGGACCCGATCAGCTCTTTAAACTCTGTTTTATTACCTACTGCAACTGATATTATAGCAACTGGTGTGAGACAAACAGTAGAAGATGCCTCGGTGTCTATGGCAGTCAAACCTTTTACTGGCAATGCAGACTTTGCTTTTGTTTTGAGGCGGGGGTACGGTCGTACATCAATAGTAAACAGGATGCTAACAATTGACTGGCAGATCAGTAATTAGCTCTGTCTAAACAGGTACACTCGGATCCAATAGAGAAGGAGTGTCAAAAAATCACAGCTTCTATTTCTGCATGTTGAACTTTCTGATAATAAGTTGTGTATGATGTGGATAGTTTCATCGACGGATCTATCTGCTACAGTAAAGCATTCAACATAAGAACGTATTATGTTTGAATGACGTTTGCCGTTAACTTCAACACCTGTTTTTTTCTTGTTTGGGTTCTTCTTCTTTCTTGAGGAAAAGCAAACTGCGTTTCGTGCTGAAGCTGCAGCGCTTAGTACGATAACTAATCACTATCATATGGGATATTGTGTTGTTGGCCTGAATTTATTAAATCGTGAATAGATGAAATCTGATTTGATTTCATTGAACACTTCCAATAGACATTCAGTATTGGCTTAATGCCGGACGAGGGGCAGCCATTACAGCCATAATGGCGAAAGTTTATCTGATCGTAGTCGAACCGCTATATACATCTAGCTTTGCAGACGTTTCTTTCGCCCGTTTCTCTAATACGCCTCTATTGTGCCCCACATGTTCGAATAACGCTGTCTCTGCTGCGGATATATTTCGCAATGCCGGGACATTCATTTGCCGGTGTACATAATCCTTAAAATTGCTTTCCCACCCGTTAGAGTTCATTGGGGCGGAAGCAGTTTGTCCTTCAGAACAGAAGGCCGACGCCAGTG